TTTATTTTCCCTCGCTGTGTAGACTAGGCTAGCCTCGATCTTAGACGTCCGCCTGCCTCTGCCTCCCGAGTGCTGGAAGGTGTGCCCCCAGGCCTGACCTTTCCGGTTCTTTCTATAAACATTACTGGGCGGGAGGGGAGGGAGCCTGGATAGATGTTCCGCGGTTAAGAGCACAGGCTGCTCTTGCAAAGAGCCCTGGTTCGAATCCCGGCACCCACATGGCCGCTAACAACTGTCCATAACTGCAGTTCCAGGGGATCGGACAGCCTCTTCTGTCCTCCGTGGGGCACTGCACAACATGGGTGCACTTACCCGCATGCAGGCAATACACGCATATACATAAAATAAAATAAAATTTTTAAAAAGGTGTCACAAAAGAGAACCCAGCATGGTGGCCCACGCCTTTAGTCCCACCACTCAGGAGGCAGAGGCAGGAGGATCTCTGTGAGTTCAAGGCCAGACTGGTCTACATAGTGAGTTCCAGGTCAGCTGGGGCTACAGGGAGACCCTGACTCAAAAAAAATTTTATTAAAAATAAGAGAGACTGACTAAGCAAGTGAAGCAGTCCAATTTTAAGACAGGTCATCTTCAGAATTTAGAGTTGGACTTGAGACCTGTTGAGAGTTTTAAATATAGTGTGGGAGTGGGAATCTGGTGTTTGCGTTATCTTGGGGGTAATCTGCTAAGAAGTGAGTCTGGAAGCCACGTGGCTGGTTGGTGGACTACAGACAAGCTCTTTACTGTAGTTCTCAGGCTGATTAGTCCTGATTATCTCCTCGGTATTGGAAGGTGGGTGTGTCAGCCTGTTTCCTTTTGCTGTAACTGAGTAGCACCAGCAGGTGATTATGAAGAACAGAAGTCTACTTATCTCGGTGTTCTGGAGGCCAGGAAGTCCATTATGAAGGTGCTGACATCTTGAGAGGGTCTTCATGAAGGAGGACATCATGTGGTAAGACAGACAAGTGAGCCCAAAAGAGAGTGCTTTAGCTGATGATACACAAAAGGGTTTTCAGAGGGGTTCTGAAGGTCCAAAATATAGTCTGCAGGACCCACTCACTTCAGGGTCTCACCACTCAAATACCATCAAGAAGAGGTGATTTTAGCGATGAAGATTGCAGCAGTTTAGAGGATGCTTGGAAATCATATCACTGAGGAAAACATCTTTGAGGATCGCAGCTTCCCAGGTTATTATCCCAACCTTCCCTGGAAGTTCCACGTTTACAGCCATCCTTCATTCCATCCCCATCAGCTGGTAGCCCAGACTACAGAGGGGGAAGAGGAAGTCCAGATGCATGCCAGTATGCACATCTGCTTCCTGAGTGCAACCTGATTAGCTGCCTCACTTTCCCACCTCCCTGGGGGGCTTCCCTGCCCTGGGGGACTGAATCTCCTCAAACCGAGCCCAAATCACCCTTAGGTTACAGGTATTTCGTCACAGTAGGGAAACAACTACCCATCCTGTATTAGGAATTGAGTCCAGTCTTTCCCTGCTGTGAGCCCCATTGCCTTGATCCCTATTTCTGTGGCAGTGGTCTTAAAGTCTTTCTTGCCCTGTCTTACCAAGTATTACTGAGTAGTTTTTTTTTTTCCTTTGCACATTAACACAGCATCTGTCCTGTCATGTCTGATAGCTCAGAAACCTCAGCTTGATGCTCAGTCATCTCTGCCTGGTTTCCAAGGATCACTACAATCTGACTCCAACAAACAGATCCAACGGCAGCTCCTGATCGTTTTCTGCATGAAACAACCCTCTGCTTCAGTCTAGGTCCCTGAACCATTGCTTTCTTGACTTTCTTCAGCTTATCTATGGACTCTTTCAAGTCAGGTTAAGACTGTGGGTCTATATTAGCTTTTTGATACTGTAATACAATTTGAGATAATCAACTAATTTAAAAAAAAGACATTTTAGCTCATATTTTTAGAGGTTTCAGCCCATTCATGGTTGGCCTTAGTTTGGGCCAGTGAAAGCACATCCTCATGGAAGCATGGTAAGGCAAAGCCATCTGCCTTATGGCCAGGACACAACAGGTGAGAGAGGGGAAGGGACCAGGCCTGCATAATCCCCTTCAGGGGATTGCTTCAGGTCACCCCTCCTATAACCTGTTTTCTTCCACCTCCCAGTAGCAATATTCTGGGGAACGAGTCTTTAGCATCTGGGGTTTGGGGAGATTCCTAAGATCCAAACTATAGCAAGATCCTTTGCCCAGAAAAGACTCAGATTTTTGCATATTTTTAAAACTGAAATGACTCTCCCGAGGCTGTGGATGCCGGAACAACCCATCTGCCAAACAGTCCTGTGTGTCTGGCTCAAGGTCAGTCGAGAGCAGCAAGGTTGGCATTCCAGGACAGATGACCTTTTCCTACGTGGGCGCCGTCCTTACCTTGTGGGGCTTTAGCAGCATCTTCCTCTCCGAATTTCTGTCAGAATCAACTCCCTCACTCCTGCAACAGCATAAAGTATCTCCATATCTTTCCAGATACCTCTTGAGTAACAGTTGAAAACTACTGGTCTAATTCTTTCCTCATTCTATTCCTTGTTTAAAACATTTCTTGCACAACTTTTTGAGGTTCATTCCTGTCTTTGCTCTGGGTGTCAGCTCCAATCTGAATTTGAGTCTTATGGAAAAATCTAGGGTAGGGGCTAGGGATGTAGCTCAGTTGGTATAGTGCTTGCCTAGTATAAGGAAGCCCTGGGATTGATCAGCAGCACTGCATAAACTAGGGAGATGAAGGCAGGTGGATTAGAAGTTCAAGGTCATCCTTGCGTATATATCGAGTTCAAAACTAGTCTGGGCTACACGAGACCCTGTCTCAGAAAATATGTAGGATACATTTCCTCCCTTCCCCCTCCATCACTTCTTTCCTACCTTGGCTAAGCTTTAAATAGACTTTAAGACTCTAGTTAACCTTATCTCAAATGTGGGAATCTTCAATTTCTGCATCTTTTTAATGCATAGAAAAAGTTTGTTGTGTCTCAGGTCTCTGTAGAAATCTGACATGAACAAGAATTCCCAGCCAGCTGTTCTCCTGAATCGTTATTTCAGAGCCAAGGGAATGAGGCTTGCTTCTGATACTGCCACATCTGTTGTCCCACACTGGCACAGGGAACTGCAGTATGAAGTAACAGAGGGACGCGAGGATCAGCTCAGGAGTTTGAGGTTAGTGACAGCAAGAGTCTGGAGAGGTAGCAAAGGCCACATGATGGAAATCAGGCATTTAGGAAGATGGACTTTTTCCTTCGCTGTCCTTTTGAGATGAGGTCTTGCTACATGACCACAAGCTCCTGGGCGCAAGTGATCCCAGGAAAATGGACTTTGATTTGGAATGTAGTGAAAGAAATGTGTGAGCTGCCAGAATCAAAATGGAGTCACTTGTGTCAACCCTAACAACAACAAAGACATAAGCAGGGGGTCGTGAAGGGAAGGTCTTAAGCATGAGTGCCCAGCAGTAACTCACAGAAGACCATCAGAGCCACAGGCTTGTACAGAGGGCTCTTCACCCTTATGTAAAACACTCTGTGGGCTGGAGAGATGGTCAGTCTGCAGAGTGCTTGCTGTGAACTGAGCTCAGTTCCCAAAACCCAGCATGTGGTACGCTTGCAATCCCAGTGCCCTGGAGCACGGAGATTCCTGAGACTTGCTGGCCAGCCAGCCTAGAAGAATGGGTGAGCTCCAGGTCAGTGGGCGGCTCCATTTCAAAACCTAGGACTGATGAGTCCTGAGGAACAGCACCCCAGGTTCCCCTTTAGCCTCCACACACATGCACACCTGCACACACACACGCACTCTCACACAATTTTTTTTTTTTTTTTGTCTTTTTGAGACAGGGTCTCCCTATAGTCCCAGCTGATCTGAACTCATTATGTAGACCAGGCTGGCCATGAACTCACAGTGATCCACTGGCCTCTGCCTCCTGAGTGCTGTGACTAAAGGTGTGTACCACCACGCCCAGTTCACACACACAATTTTTAGGAGTACTTATGCAAGGACATATGACCAGAAACTGTGTTCTACCTCAGAATGACACTTCAAACTGACACTACTCTTTTTATTAGTCATGTGGTCAAGGATGATTGTTTCAGAACATCTGATGTAATCCTAATTTTGTGTTTAATAACTTCCTGTTGCCTCAGTCTCTCTGACTACACCCTCAGTTGATGATGGCTTGTGTGACCCATTGTGGTGCTCTGTTGTTCCCAAAGAAATGTCATTCTTGGGGGCTGGTGAGGGGGCTCAACCATTAAGAACACTAGCCATTCTTCCAGAGGAACAGGGTTCAATTCCCAACACCCATACGACAGCTGACAACCATCCATAACTCTAGTTCCAGTGGGATCTGACACCCTCCTCTGGCCTCTATGGGCATTGCACGACATGGGTGCACTTTCATATATGCAGGCAAAACACTCATATTCTTTGGAGAATATGTTTTCTGGTTTGACAGTGCTTTTATAAGCGAGCATTTAAAATTATATGTATCTTTAAAAAATTTTTTTTCTTATTCATAAGCAACAGATACTCAGTATAGAAATTTGATATAGAAATATGCAAAGAAAATAATTTCCTTAACTACCTGGAGACTACTATCTTAAACATTTTGATATATACATATGATACAAATTTGACATATCTAAAACCCATTTTTATGAGCTT